ATCCAGTACAATGTAGAAGTTACTACTTCATGTATCAGCCACATGATGCACACTAACAAGTGATACTTTGCCATGTGCACAATCTATGTTGCTCTACACATTGCAACAGAAACACACAAGAGGATGTACAAACCACTCACACATTTTCTCTGAGCACTCCCTTCATTGTTAAAACCACGTTGTCAAGGTGTTGGACCCATAAAGCAATTTTGTTTCCCAGAAATGCTAAGAATGCATGCATTTACAGTATCTGCTTTCCCTAATATGCCAATCAAGAAAACAGCCAGGCCCGTAGCAATGGGGAGACCTTTTGGGGCAGTGCCCCCCCCGATGACCCCGCCTTCCCCAGGAGGATGCCAGACTCCCCTCCCTCCTACCACCCTGGGAGCCTTGTCAGTAAAGAGATGCGCCTGCCTGCCTCTGCAGCTCTCCCTCAGCAGCAACCATGGTGTCTGGGGTGGCTGGCACAGGCGCAGTGATGCACTGTGGCAGGCACCTCATTGCACCTGGCACCTCATTGCACCTGTGCTAGCCAGAGAGCCCAGCTGCCACACTGCTGCTGAGGGAGAGCCGAGGAGACAGGCGGGCAGGACAGCAGGCGGCAAGCAAAAAGAGGCATCATGGTGCCTCTTTCTGCTTGCCGCCTGCTGCCCTGCTCACTTGCCTCCTCAGTTCTCCTCCCTCCCTCCCTTTTTCTGGCATGCAGGAGGCTCCTCCACGAATGGAGAGGGAGAAGGACAGCCATCCAGTCATCAGGTCACTTACGGGTGATGTCACAAGTGACGTCATGTCAATGGCATGTGCCCCCTGCCCCCACTGAAAATTTTCTGGCTACAGGGTTGAAAACAGCATTGTATTAAAGAGGGGCAAGTTCTCCATTCAGGAGGGTAGAGGTCGTGGCTCAATGGTAGAGCATCTGTTTGTCATTTGGGAGGTCCCAGGTTCAATTCCTGGAATCTCCAATTAAAGGATCGGGTAGTAGGTGATGTGAAAATGCTACCCAAGACCCTGCAGAGCAACTGCCAGTCTGAGAGGACAACACTGGCTTTGATGGACCAAGGGTCTGAGTTAGTACATAGCAGATTTGTGTGTGTGTTTTTCTTTTCCTCTTGAGAGTCATGTTGCATTTTCTTATAATTCTATTGAACATACTTTTGAGCTGTATATAAATTATCTAATTGGTTGGATTTGGAGACATAATCCTGGAGGCTGGGTCAGTGTTTCTGTGGGGCTGGGGGATTCCTGGGTCTTATGTTATTGAATGGTTATGCGATCTAAGATGAGAGTTAAACGTTTAAGCATTATAGGAACCAGTTAAGACATGAAATGTTTATATTAGACACTGTTCTCTGGCGAGAAATCTCAGTCTGGTAAGAGTCTTA